CTGTAATCATTGACATGGCTTGTAGTTGTTTAAGACCAAAGTTATTTGTTATAGTAGAGTATATTGGACCTTGAGCTATAAAAACAGTTAAAAAACAACAATAAAAGACTATATAAGACCTAAGAATCTTAGAAAACTCAATGTATTGTTCAAAAGTATACTGAAACATGAAATAAACTTGCAAAATAAATGCCTGTCACTCGCGTAGTCAAACAGAAATCTAGTTAGTTCCTGTTTTGATGATCAAATCGAATCAAATAAATTTCATTAGTTTAAATCAAAACATTATAAGTGGAATAATTCAGTTTCTGGCTGCTGGTCAGACAATCTGACATCCCATTTTGACTGGTAATTTGTGATAAAAATACAATTATTAATATTAATTCCCTATCTGGACAGATCGATGAATTTATTAATAATGCAAGTAACCTTTTGTTCTGTTTTTAGTTGGTTGTCTTATGCTAATATGTGTTAAAAGCCCTTGTAAAGTTAAAAGTAAGCGAACACTCTAAACTCTTAAAATATGTATTTGTAGTGCGTCAACAGAAAATCACCCACCATGCAAACACCTGCTTCCTTTACAAGCACTTCAAGGCCTGAAACATTGTTGTGCAGTGTCCTTAATACTGTTTTATGAAAAATATATATCCTGTTACATATAATAAGTTACTTAACTCCGTGTTTCCTGCTGGGTGAACAACACAGATGTTATAAAATCACTGTGTCTTGTGCCATGTTGCTCAATACTGGACTCATCTGACCCAATCAGCGCCATTGTCATCTGTGTACTTCTGCAGTGACGGTCGCTTTTAGCCTATTTTTTAAATCCACAAACAGCTGCCTGGGAGAAAGGCTCCAGAAATAACAAGCACTGCTAAAGATTTGACAAAAAAATGGACAGTGCTATGTATCATGAGTAGGTCAGCTTGTTTACATGTGTTGCAGCCTACACGACGGCACATAAACCACAAAGGCCCTCATTCGACCAGATGAATTAAATTAATCTTGGAATGCTAATAACAGAAAAGCCTGGTGAACTTTAATGATGTGAAACAGACGAGAAACACTTTCATGTGACGTTACATATTGTTTTTGTAGTGCAGAAAAGGACTTAAAGAGATTGAATTATCTGTTGTCTGGCTAATTTGATTATTGACTCTTTGTTTACATCACTACATGAGACTATTGATTGGTACAATAACATGACGAGCAGTCTTTATGTTCTGTACCTGGTAACATGTTTGTTGTAGAGACTACAGAAACCAGTCCATTATTTTACTGTCACATTGAATACATATATTTACATATACAAACTCATGCTTCTCTAGAGCATATATGTGCCCATTTAGCCCCACAGATCACAATGATTCAAGGTTATTTTTCTATTTAATAAACTAATTTAAACATATTTGTATTGGCTGTGGGATAATTGGGTGATTCATCCAGCCTACAGCTGCACTACATTCCAGTATTGTGTAAACATGAATTACAGTAAACCCTCTTGGGCAAATACACAGTGCACAAAAGTAGAGTTGGTGAGCCACAGAGATAAGGAGAGGCCGACCATGTCACCAGTAAGCCATTTCCTGTCTGTGTTCCCCAACACCATGACCTCTGACAGGAGGCTGTTGTGTACGTTTTATTTAGCCACTCTGTGGTAGAGAAATGCCGGCTCAGCACTGAGTCATTGTAACGGTACTGTTGCAGAGCTGTCAGCGTCGGCTATAAAACTTTTGGAAGAGTGGCAGTTACAAGGGTTGGGCTAAAACCTGTCGGATGGTTGGCTCAGCACATTGAGAACAGACTCTACGTTGCTTATTTTCCCACTGATAGTGCCCCTGTTTCAGTAAGATTTCAAAGCCCCATGAGGGCGTTCAAGCTGCCTACCCTGTTCCTCTTAATAGTCACATGACAGGGCTGTGAAAGGAAGACTTGTCTCCCCATGCTCTAATCTATCTTTTCCAAAGTTGCGTACAACAGTATTTTCCAGAGGCACTTCAGGGGCTGAGTTAGGGGTTTTTCCTTTTTTTAATTATTCAGCCAATAGTATGTAAGAAATAAATAACTAACTTCCTCAGATCTTCACTGATGTGTTCCAGGAGGTATTTGTGATAAATTAGTGTAATGAATACACTCTTTGATGGCACTATAGCTGAAGTGATTAACCAGTGAGACGTCTGACAGGAAATTTAATCGGAAACGGTTTTGATAATTAAATAAATATTCCAGTTACGTTTCAGAGAACATTTCTCAGAATGTTGGGTGAATAGAACAAAGAATATGACTGTACTTCACTGGGCTCTGGGATATTTTAATGTTGTTTTTCACCAGCGTTTTTAGGGCAGTACCTGACCCAGAATTATGTCAGTTAAATTGGATTTGGTAGTTCAATAAGAATATTTGACAATTCTTTCCTTTTTTTCATGTGGAGTTTGAACGAGGTTTGGTGACACAGTCAGGGTTAGAGTGACGTTCACTTCATATAGTAAACAAGCCAAGTTAGCCCTCTTAGCTAATGTGTGCTAATTACACAGACACTAGTATTTTCGGGACCGAAACGTCCCCAGAAGAACGCTGCTCACTTACTGACCAAGAAATGATCAATCATAAACAACTGTTCGACTTGAAGAATCTTCGACTTTCAGGGGGCAGCTCTACAATGCTCTGACTTTTTATGGATGAACAATCAGTTAATCAACAATATAATCCCAGTTAGGTGTACCTGAGAAACTGGTAACTGAGTATTACCCAAGAGATGCCCCAGTGGCAGAGTGGCATACAATGTGCCCTTTCAAGAATCCCACATGTTTCAACAACAAAGGTTGTTTCTGTTTTCAAACTGCTGACTGTCTTGCACAACTTCTCTGTGCTGTGTGTCCTCCTGCAGTGTTGTTCACACAGTACGGCTGTCTTATTCTTCTTTGTTTTTTTATGGGGTTCAAGTTGAGTTTAGTCAGACACTGCTGACCTCTCTCTGTCTCCTCAGGTCGTGAACAGTTCCACGGGTTGGGCTCCATGTACTGTCGTGGAGCAGCTGCTGTCATTCTGACTTACGACGTCACCAACTGGCAGAGCCTGTGTGAGCTGGAGGAGCGCTTCCTGTCCCTCACTGATACCGCAAACCATGACTGCATTTATGCTATAGTGGGCAACAAGGTGGACCTCACAGACCCTAAAGCCCAGCTGTGCCAGGACTCAGATGTGGCGTCTGCGGACCGAACTGAGTGTGAGGAGGAGAGGACAGAACCACAGGTGCCGTCTGCTTGCCCCACACCCCCCGCCTCCCCTGCATCCCTCTCTGGGGTGACGGTGCAAAAACAGGTTACGCCGGAGGATGCAGCAGCTCTTTATGTGAGAATACTGCGCTACAAAGGCCTGGAGGAGAAGAACAGCCTGCCTGCAGAGAAGATGTGTTTCGAGACGAGCGCCAAGACGGGCTACAATGTGGACAATCTGTTTGAGGCACTGTTTGATCTGGTGCTGCCTTCCATCCTGAGGAAGAGAAATGAGAACCAGGAGTCTCCAATGGTGGACCTGGAGGAGTGCAGGGTGGGCGGCAACAAGAAGGCCAAATCTGGCTGCTGCTAGAGGCTGCTACCAGCAGAGACTTGTTTTTAACAAAGGACAATCCAGAGGTTGGTCTGCGCACCAAAAACACACTGTGACGGTACTACTTACCTGCCTTGTCTTAGAACCAATAGCATTAATGACCTCCCGGTAACACAAACACACACTTATGATTCTGTGAAGACTGTCAGAAATAGCAGTCAGTGTTCAAAGGTCCAACCTTTGTATGATTTAGTGGCATCTATTGACAGAAATGGTATATAATATTCATTACTATGTTTTCATTCATTTAATAACCTGAAACTATGAATCATTGTTTCCATTACCTTAGAGTGAGCTGTTCATATCTACATACGGAGCGGGTCCTCTTCCACGGAGTGCACCATGTTGTTTCTACAGTAGCCTAGAGTTAACAAAACAAGCTCTAGATAAGAGCTATTTGCAATTATGCGAATGCTACCCTAGTTCTCTGACACACTTGTCCTGAAATTTCACTGGGGACCAGACATATGGTATATGATGGTCGGGAGAGTTCGCTTCATTCCTCAAGCTCTCTTAGCTTTTCAAGTTTAATAAATACATTATATAAACCCACAAAATGTTAAGGAAAGTAATATTTAGCATCCACTTTCCTTATTCAACAGCGAAATACAACCGTACACCTTCTGAATTCAGGTTTCTCTAACTCGTAAAACACACACGACTTAGTCTTGTTAGTTGTCTAGTTAGTCCACTGTTCCAACTATCACCAACTCTGGTGTTGTCGAAATAAAGAACCAATCCACCATTGGAAGTGAAAATATGCGGTTTTTCTCTGCTGCTGTTGCGGCTGTTTACAGTCCTGTAACGTTATCCCCACCACTCACAGTCGCCATGTCTGTCCGTTCATCTGCCTGTTTCACCAGTAGAGACCGATGTCTGGTGGCATGTGCTTTCAGTTCTGTAATCACACCACTAGATGGCACTAAATCCTACTCACTGGACCTTTAACGCAGTGAAATAAACGCTTGTCGCGCACTCCCTCTATGCTTTGAAACCTTCCACCCAATGACTGAAACCGCTCTTGTATTCCAAAGATGTGTCTGTGGTCAAATAATACACTTAAGAAGTCAATCACTGCTTTTTGTTTATGTTTTAAATGAGAATGTCACAAATTTAACAGCACTAATTGTTTGGTGGGTGGCACATGGTTGTAGTTGTACTCTAAGTTTTCCACAAATCACACTTCGTTGTTTTCTTTTATACTCTGTTACTGTTATTCATACTGATCTTTATATTTTATTGGCACATTTGGAACTTTTCAATGAGAGTAAATAATGAATAAACCTGTTGAATTTTTAAGTTCGCTGTCAGAATAAAGATTTTTATTTTGCAGTCTGTCTGGTCTGCCAGATTGGATTAGGATTATAAGAGTAACACGACACAATAAGAAGTATAACAAACAACATTTAATCTTTACAATCCAATGAAATAATCATGTTATGAAAATTACCAAAATTACATTACAGTTAATTGTCAGTATATTCCCGGTCTAATCAAACAGTTTATTTCCAAATGGTTGAATCTAGGTGAAGTAGAACATTTGACCTACTTTCTAAATTGTGTAAAATACTTTAATCTAACCCAGGATCAGTGACCACCGCATGGATTTGCTGCGGTCAGGACTTTGATCCGAGCTGTTTACGTTCTGTCCTGTTGGCAGCTCGGGGCAGCTCAGTAATAAGTAGATTTGTAAAAGAAAAGAGTGTGACATGAGTAGTATTAGATGGATATATGTTTAAACTCTTAGGGAGGGGGGTCAAGTTCATTCAGCTGTATTGTATAAATACAAAGAGAATCAGTGCAATGTGTGAACATATTGTGTTAGAAAAATAAAGAGCTGCAGACCATTTTGCAATAGCTGATAAAGGCACATTACAGACGAACAGCTTGAAAAGACTGTCGTATTATAAAAATAGGTTTCATAAGAGCAGTGGGATAAAAGCAGGATAATACCGTCAATAGTATCAACCAACGATTGGTCAAGACACATTCTTCATTTGGCTGACAAGCAGTGTTAGTGGCTTTTTGGTGGGCTGTATACCCTAAAAGATAAAAACATCTAGATAAACTGAAGCAGTGCATACACACGGGCATCTTTGGTTCAGCTGTAGTATACGGTCTCTGATCGTTAACAGTGGCCCTGTTTACACCTGGTATTAACATGTGCCTGGGTGATCGGATAACAAGTAGAAAGCTCTAAGTACAGGTGTGAATGCACCAAATGCATCCCTGGTGTGTATTGAGATCCATCAGACCACATTCTTTTAGCAGTGTGTACGCTAATGTGTCCTGTGCTACACTGAACGGCCGCCCGCTCAGCTGATGTTCTTGATTATCTGACGCCCCACCAGATAAGAAAACATTTCTTGGTGCATTTGCACAGACACAATGCTTAAGGACTGTCTCTGGAGCTGCTCTACTCCCTGCAAACTGTCAGTTAAACATCTGCCTGGTTAGCATGAGCTAACAGCAGCAGCGGCTGTATAAAGGCTCATTAATGCTCAACTTTAGAAAAATAAGACGCCGTGCTCACTCACAATTAAACCTTTAAGACTGGGTGTTGAATCCTTAATGTAAGTAACAAAGTAAAGATCAGGACAGACGGTACTCTAATTAAATTTGAGTCCAATTAAATTGGAGTGCTGTCTTGATCTTTACTTTATGCTTATCTTTAGTTATATATATATGGAGATGGACGGAGCTTTCAGAGCAGTAACACCAGAGATCGTGGGGGCAGTGTAGCGTAGTTCAAGCGAGGTACAGCCGAAGGAGATGTTGAAGACATTTTAAAAAACGGAACGTATAGTGAAAGAGTTCTCCATCTACATATCACAATGTATTTAATGGCCTCACAGACCACCCCCATCTACAGCGCTGCCTCCGTTAAAAGGTACATTAATACGACCTCCTCCACCATCGCCTCGTTTGTTTTGTCTGAAACTTTTGACTCTGAAATAGACAAATCTATTTTTGGACATAAAGGGAGTATAAATGAGCCTTAACAGTCCCAACAAACTCATACCGACACAAAAATGGCTCGACTGTGTCTTCAAATTAGTTAATAACCATTAAGTAATGTTAGCCATGTGATGCTAACTGAGACTTGAGATCCGACCACCTCAGACGCATGTGAATATTTGGTGTAAACAGGCTCATTGTGTCATAATAGCTGAGGTAATAAGTTAAAAGCACCAATGAACATTTAACACATAAAAATACTTGTTTTCCCAGAATGCTATTGACTTCATTATGGGGCTTCTCCTGTTTTATCTACAGAGGGACATTTCACTCAAAGCTCAAGGCGTTGCACAGTCATTGCATATCTGAGCTCAGTGGCTCGGGGAAAAACTTAACTTTGATCTAAATCAGCATTTCAGATCCCCCTTTGATTTAGAACATAGAGAGATGACACTAGACCACTGTCACTGCAATGACTTCTTTGTGTCAGCGTTACTGCACAGTCTCTCACAAGTTCTTCATGCAGACCTGGCAGCGGCTGATGCGTGACAGGAGCTGGCCTGCTTTGAGCGTCTCTGCTGCCGGCTCAGTGTGGAACGACTGATCTATGGAGGTGAGCCAGAAGCTGTGCTTGTTAGCAAAGTAGTGGCATGTGCCTTTGGCCCCGTTGCACTCGATGAATGGTGTTGTGCGGAAGTCCTCCAGGCAGGAGCCGGGCGACGACAAGGACTGACCTCCACCTTCATTTCCTGCCGCTGTGTGCTGTTGAGACAAAGGTGAGAGGGGGAGAAATTAGGCAACAGTGAATTGATTAGGGATGGGATGGTATAAGATCTGCAGATCATGATAAAAGAACACACTGATTGTGGTAAATTTCTATTATCAGAATAATCATGAACATCATGTCCAGCAGCACCCAAAGACACTGCAAAAACATGCATACAAACCAACCTAAAAAAAAACTCCTCAAAAGATCTTAACCAAACATCGGCACATTTTATATTGAAATATCTTATTTGGAAAAATATTTCCATTTCCAAATACTTGCAAGGCCTGTTTTTTTAGATTGTTTTTCACTAAAAAAGATAAGGTAAAGTGATTTCATTAAGTTTCAGTGCCATTTTAAGAGTTTTGGGAATATTTTGATGATTTACAGGATAATATAAAGTTCACTTATTTTGCCCAGGATAATCATGACACGAAATTTTCATATCATGCCATGCCTGGACTTGATCAACTAACAAGTTTTGTCTCTATAGCCAAAGCCTGAAATAGCTCATCCCTGTTGCATAGAGCTCCACTGTCAAATAACTATTAAAGACACACCAGTGAGTCACACTGTTGTGCTGCTGTACACTATGAACATGAGGACCAGAATTAACTTTGAATGACACATCGACCTGCTACCATAAATACTCAGCAGCACACCAAAACCGCAGCTGAAAATAGTCCCACCCCCACCCAAAAAACAGAAATTGCTTCTGTCTGAGAAATGTTTGCTAAAAAACTATCGCAGCTGACATTGGGCAAGAGGTGGAGTACACCCTGGACAGGTCGTCAGACTATCACAGGGCTGACACAGAGAGACAGACAACTATTCACACTCACCTGCACACCTACGGACAATTTAGAATCGCATATTAACCTAACCTGCATGTCTTTGGACTGTGGGGGGAAGCCGGAGTACCTGGAGAAAACCCATGCTGACATACAGACATGCGTTTGCTTAAAAGACTTCAGAGCGACCAGATGTTTTAAATAATTATTTGGCCTTTTTCAAAATGAAAATATATACTTGTGACCTGATTTTTATCTTTTGGTGGGAGTAAATGGGCTGAATCCAAGTGCCACACGGTAGGAAAATCAGAAAGTACTTAGTAAGAGACAAACAAATGCATTGTTTTTGTTTTTTGCATGGGATTTGTTGACAGTAAAAAGAAAATCTAGAATATCACCAGCTTTGTCTGACAAACTACTGATTTTTATCAGGTCTAATTTTACACAGAATATGTTGGCTTGCTTTACGTTCAGACAGCTTTATTGCACCACTACTGACAACACTAACTGTTGAGTTGTGGTCCTAATGCTCCTCTTGCTCCTCAGCTTTTTATATTTTGTCCTGCACTGCTCAGACATGCGATTGAAGCCGTGAGCAGCCATATGCTGAGAAACGCACTGAAGCACTATTTCATTTTTGACTGCTCCATCCAGCTCCCGCTGTATTTCCCCCTTACCAATAACGCAGAAGAGTCCTTTCTCTACTTCGAGCGGTGGTTCCCAACTGGTCCAGCCATGGGGTCCAGATTTCTCCTCAATCATTTGTTCAAGGTCCGAGAGTTGAATATATTCAGCATCATACTTGTGTTCGGCCATATCATTGAGCTAGTTTGCTGTCTCTGTTAAGTAGCTGTCCATTAGTCACTCACTCTACAGCAGGAAACAGCACTTCAAAATAAACACTCTGTGATGGAAATTCAAAGAGTGTTTTTTGCCAACTTGACAAGTTTGTGAGTCACGAATGGACCCGTGACCCACTTTTGGACCATGATCAACCAGTTGGGAACCAATGATTTAGAAATTGATAATTGCTGTTTTGATTGTGTCTAGTCTAAGGTAGTACTCTTCTCGTTTGTTTTTTTATTAGTTATTTAGTTTGCTGCTTGTGTGGTTGTTTTGTCATTGTATCATACAACACTGTGTCTTTTACATTTGTTTTGTGAGTGTTTGTTTAGGACCCCTTGAGAATGAGATGATACATCTGAAGAGGGTCATCCTGATACACTAAATTTCTCTCTCTATATATAATGTTCTTTCACAATAAAGCTTTAAAAGTTTTTGCTATGGCACATAATGTAGCCCACATTAAGCCTAAATGGGGCTCCAACAATTTAATATTGGGCTTCCATAAAGTTGAGGGACTAGGAAAAGAAAGACTGAAAAATCAATGGTCTAAATCGAAGAAGCAGAGGCTGATATATTGTGACTTTTCGTTAGCATGGGTCAAACGCTGCATCCCTCTTCCCACAGTACAGCTTGACAGGGCCTTTTTCATCAGACCCTCCCTGTGTGGTTACCACCCACATCTCTCAGTCTCCACATTCCCAGTTTGCAACGCAGGCATTCTGTTATAAATCTGTAGTCTCCAGCACAGAGACAGGGAATGTGTTATACAACTGTGTTCACAAGCTGAGTCGTAGTTCCCATGATTACTAAACTGAAAATAGAAAGTGCCTACGAATCTTATTGAATCATTGTCTTTAGTTATGGAAGTTGCACCAAGCTCCCACAGTCGACAATGAAATGATAATGAAACTCTTGCACATTAACATGTTTGTCCAGCAGTAGGACCAGAACCCACCATGATGAAGGAGTAGCCGATCCACAGGCTGCGCCAGCCCACAGGACACTGTGGGATGGTAATGTCCTGGCTGTGGATTGCGATGGCGACTGATGGAGCTTCGCATACAGAGCAGCGGCTGATGTATGGTTTGATCTCTCCTTCTTCTACAGGCATCATGGGAAGAGGAGCAGTCGTCGACAGCCAGTAGGATTTGTCATTTCTGCTGGCGTAGTAACAAAGGTCTCCGGGGTTGCAGTACAGGAAGGGCATGGTGCTGAACCGTGGGAGGCAGGAGCCCGCCAAACCTGGGGAAAAAAGGCACACATTTCATACACAAACTAAATTTAAAGTTTCTTTTTAAATAATTAAACAATTACATTAAATAAGAGTGACATAATAATAAGAAGATTAAATGTATGAGAAAAAAAACTTAATGATAAAAGAAACCAGAGGAGCCGGGTTAATTGTTGTCAAAGAGCTTCGGTATTTTTCAACCTGGACCCTATTTTACTATGTTTCTGTCTAAGTGACTAATAGGAACAACTTTTTTTTTTTAATTGGTCCAATATTAACCAAGACCGCTGCAGCTGCCAGCTGTGAAACAGGCTGAAATGAAACCACTCATAGCATATGCAGTGTCAATTTACACCCATTAAAAGTGCTATTTTTGCCTCTGACAGGCTCAGATTGTTATTATATGTGTCTGACAACTTACAGACAAGATTCGTACAGACACAGACTTTTTTATTAAAGAGCAAGATCATTTTTATTAACCAGAAACAGCCTCAAAAGCCCTATCGTCAAACTCACCAGTTACCATTTAAATTAAGAGTTATTATATTCTTGTAAAACAGACTTATTTAAAGTCATCGGAAACACAATAAAATTTACTAAAGCCACCTTGGTGCACCTTTCTACTGCTCCAACAATCACCAACTCTGGTTTGGACGAATTAAACCCTTAACTCACCCAGTTAGATGTGAAAATATGCTTGTTTTATACACGCTAAAATTACTGTTTTTTTAAATGGAGTCTGGTGGGTTTGTCGACAGTGATTGCGAGGCTGCTTCTTGTTGAAAAAAAAAGGATCTTATTCTTTAACAAATAGGTCTATCTTAGTTAAGATTCTATTCATCATGTTGTCAGACACTTATAATAACAATCTGAGCCTGTCAGTGGTAAAAACAGAGTGGATAATGTGTGACGTTGTACAAATGCCCCAAGTGTTTACACTGCAGCCTGTTTCACTGCTGCCAGCTGCAACTCTCTCACTCAATACTGGACAAGTTTCAAAAATTGTTGTTCCCATTAGTCATTAAGGCACAAAACATGCAGAAATAGGGTCCAGGTCGAGAAGTGCCACAGCTACCCTTTAAGATGTAGTTGAGCTCTATAGAGTTAAAGCCTTTAAACTTACTTTGAAGTGCACCCTGCAGCAATGGCCACAATTAGGTGACTATAGCAAATGCTACAATGTAGTATAACAGTAGCACAAGTACATGAGAATAATTTAAAGTCCATGAACTGACCCAGTAACAGCTGATATCCAGCAACAGCCACGATAAGCTACTGGTCACACCCAACCAAGTCACTCCTGAATCTACTGAGTTGAGCAAAGGTACATATTTTAATTTGTAATTGGAAAAACATGTTTGTTTTCTATTGTCAAAAGTTGCATGGCTCCGAAATAAAATTGTTGGTGTGACAAAGTAGTTTCTGTTCTGTAAACAGTGATTTGATGGAAGGTCTATCCCACATTTCCTGTCGTTATAGTTTTATTGTATCACCGGTGGAGAAGCAGCACTGACATGAGAGTGAGGATGAAATTTTACCTTTTCATTTTCTTGTTTCTCACATGTAGTTATAAAAAGTCAAATCTATAGCATGCGCTCTGCCTCTCACACAGAGTTAATTCATTTAGAGACAAAATCTGATTACACTGATGAAAAGTCGATAGTAGCAGGCTTAAACTGGCTTACTCTATTGAATTACACTTTGAGGACGAGAGGAGAAGCAGCTGTGGAAATGAATACATCACAGCTGAGAACCGTTTCTTTGCTTTGATGTATTTTAGGAAGCCTTTTGTAACAGCTTGACCAGGGACAACAGATGAAAAATAGCCTACTTGCTAGTTCGGCATTTTTATACCATGTGTATGTATTAATTTGCACTGTCCCTTCTTAAACTTCGTAAACTGACACTGAGAACACAGCTGGCACTGTCTCAGAGCTCCAGAGATGACTGTGAGATAGTTTAATGAAAAACAAGTCTGTCCTTTTCTCAAGGGAGTCAAGTCTATATATAGTATGTTTTCAGAGGTCAGTGTCTCTTTCTCAGCCCCATCATGCGGTTATGGCCCTACTTGAAATGCGACGTTTTTTTTTGGCGTGGGGGATGGGGGTTGGACACGACACATACTGTATGAAACATTGGGTTTGGGGGTCCTGTGCTGGCAAATTTCTCATGAATTTTATGCACCATTTCTTGCCTTTTCTGCTTCGTTTTAAATGTCTTAATTTTGTTCAAATAAATTCCTTTACTATTTCCCTGTTTTATTTGGGCTGGGAGCAAATGCACACTCTTAAAAATGTAGTCGGCTGGTCTAAATGGTCCCAAATCATCCTCAGCAAACAGTGAGATCTGCTGAGCTGGATGGCTCTGGAATGTCTTCTGCTTCATTGGATCACAATCTGTGTCAGTCTGTTCTGACAGGACTGTACTGTAACAAACTCACATTTGCATTATGTCCAGACAATGCACAGATAACAGACTTTTCCCGGTCTAATGTATTAGAAAAATTCCTCAAACAAAACCTTTGTTCTAGAGCTGGGCAATATGTGGATATCATATCAATATAGTGACATAAGACTTGATATGGACTGTCTGAAGGCATCTTTTGTTTGCAAAGAAACAACGTCACAACAGCCGCTACTAGATGGAAACAGCATATGAAATGCTGAGCTTTAATTGTCCTGAACTGAAATACACACTGTGGGAAATGGTGAAATCAGTCTAAGGACCTTGCTGCTCAAATGCAAATGGACTTGTTTAGCTCCTCTCTAGTCCTCCGACTGAAAGCGCTGTAACACTTCATGTCACAGTCACCCTTTCACACTCATTTATACACTAGTGGCTGAGGCTACCATACAAGATGCCACTTGCTACTCAGTTTTTGACACACTCACATCGCGAGCACTTTGGGGTTCAGTATCTTGCTCAAGGATGCTTCAACATGTGGACTGGAGGAGCCAGGGATCAAACCGACAACCTTCTGATTGGTGGATTTCTTTTTTTTTTTTTTTGTTGCAATTATTTGATAGGACAGATATAGTGTGAAAGGGGGAGAGAGAGTGGAGATGACATGCAGCAGGAATTGAGCCTGAGGACACAGCCTTTGATAGACGGGGCACCTGCTCTACCAGGTGAGCTAGTGGGCGCCCCACTAGCTGTAGTACTCTGGGATGGTTACACGTGGGGAGCATGACTAAACTGTAGAACAATTTTACACTTCTCCCTGACTCACCAAGATCCTGGTTGTGGGCCTTTTCCTGGCCCTCAAAGTACAGCAGACTGTAGCCGTCCCACAGTTTGGACATGCCCACAGGACACATGGGCGTCTGCTCTGACTGACTGTGTTTCACCAGCAGGTAACCCACACTGACACTGCGGCCCGGCATACCAGGTAACCCAGGGATACCAGTGTGGCCACGGCGACCTATTGAGAAATGAGGAATAAACTAATTATCAACTACACAATGCACTCATGCTATACACACTATAGACACTTGATATGTGCAGTGTTGTGTGAGACATTAGACTGTGTCATACAACCAGTATCACTGTAAACTAGGCTGCCTTCATACATATTACCTGATGCTTTCATTACTTTCATCAAACTCTGGCAACAATCTCTGCTAAGATAATTACATGCTAATGTAAACAGACCTTGAGGAAGTTCCTAGTCCCCAGCTCAGTGCTAATAATCCTTCATTCATTCACTAAACCGACTCTCACAAAAAATAACAATGAAAACCCTCTTGGTAACTGGCTCCCTGCTTAGGAGTCTCCACCTACTTTAAATCCTTTAATCCAGGGTCATTAACCCTAATCCTAACCTGCCCCACAGTGTCAGACGTACCTTCCATGCCTTGCAGACCGGGGTGGCCCACTTGTCCAGGGTCTCCAGGAAATCCAGGCGTTCCTGGTCTACCACTAATCCCAGGCATGCCCTTGTGCCCAATGGGTCCCATGAAACCTTTACAGACAGACGATACATGTATGTTGTGATCCAGACATTTCACTTTGGGATGCTTAACAACCGGTGTTTTATTAGAATAACTAACCTGGAGCACCAGGGGGGCCCTGTGGCCCTGGTTCCCCTATGACCCCCTTTGGTCCTTGGATACCCCGCGGTCCTGCAGGGCCTCTCTCTCCCGGAATGTTGATGGGAATTGGAAGAGGACCCTGGCTTCCTGGGAATCCTCGGAAACCTGCAGCACAGAAGGATCATGTAATGACAAAAAGCACAAAAGCAGGTATCTGGTAGAGAGCAGAAATTACATGAATGTGTATAATTCACCTGGAGGTCCAGTGTTTCCTTTTGGACCAGGTGACCCTCTTTCTCCCTTCAGACCGATAACACCAGGAACTCCCATCACTCCTTGCTCTCCTTTCACTCCTGTAATAAAAAAAAAGCGTATCAAGATTGTAAACATGTAGCAGGTGTTCATATTATCAAGTTACAGACAGGTGCATTCAAGGGAAGCTTCGGTATTTTTCCTCCTGGATCCTATTTTCCATGTTTCCAGTCTGAGTCGAATGGAGACAACAACTTTTGGATTTGTTCCAGTGTTAAGAGAGAGCGCTGCAATCTCTCAATCTGGAGTTCAGTAGTCAAACATTGTGTATAAAATGTGTGTAAATCAATCCTTTGGTCGATAAATTGAATCATAATACAGGCTAATAATGGCAGGAGGGGAAATATTGGTGTCCAGTACTGGATGGTAGAAGTGGTTTATCCAAGGAGAGGGTAGTAAATTTTTGTGTGTAGCGAGGAAAATGATGTAAATGTGAGACTTTAAGTGGCAGTCCCAGCACATTTAGTGCCCTTGGTGAGCCTCGCCCCCCCCCCACCCCTCATTTGCTGCAGCTCAACCCTCAAAGTACTGCACGTTCATTATCAAAATGCAGATAAATGACCTAGCTAACAAAAAATATAATATATAAAAAAATATTTTTTGAAATCATTCAGTCCTTCATTACAAAACATCTTCAAAAAATAAGCCAAAAGTCTTTTTACTGTTTATGATACATCATAATTCCCTCTCTAATATCTATTTTAAAGTGCTGTGAAAACAATTTTTTCCTTCAAACAGCTGTATTTATTCAAGTTTCTCCCAAAAAGCTACATTTTACTAGATGACATGGAACACATCATGATAATATTATAATTACCTTGACCCAGTACTAACTTTTTTCTGAATAGAGCTTGAACGCTTCACAGTGTAAATAAATGCAACCTCTGTGAGCTGTTGGTTGCGACCACCGACTGCTTAGAGGTAACAATAATGAGCTCTCCTCCTGCCAACCTCATGTTCTTTCTCTCCACATTCACTCCTCTCAGTAGTGTCATGGTCGTTGAATGGGCACCAGAGAGCTTTTGTCATTTTGACATGATAACGATACAGCGTGTTTCAGGATTCACATGACATCGCATAACTTGTCCATCTCCCCCAAACAGCAGGTAAAGTGTAACGATCTGAATAGGGGGGCCAGGGGGCGGCAGGAACCCAGAAAAAAAGTCCTATCTATTATTTAGAAGGCTTTGCTGTGTAGTTATGTTGCTGTGGCCTTTGGTAAGATTTCAAAATAACAGAAGTTATAGTATTAGTATAAAACAGTGACAGATTAACATTTTGATTTTTTTCTTCCCCCATTTGTGGTGCCCCCTATGGATGTCAGCACCCTTAGCATTCCCTTACGCCACGAGCTGGCACTAGAGACTCTTTTTTTTTAAACAGGAACAGTAATTAAAAAAAATCCACTCAACACAAGCTGTTGTTAACAGCCTCTCCTTGACGTGATTCAAAACTTCATGCTTACCTTTCTTCCCAGAAACACCGTTTGGCCCCCTGTATCCGAATGGACCTTGATCCCCTTTGAATCCTTTCCTACCAGCGACTCCAGGATACCCGTTAAATCCTGGTACACCCTTTTCTCCAGGGGGGGCATCCACACCAGGGAATCCTCTGGGTCCAGGGAAACCTGAGAAACGAATTATTTAGGGTTAATGAACATAGTTAGGTGAGAAAAAAAACTCCCCAGCATCAAAACCAGTCTGGAGTGACAGTTCAGCTCAGTTCTTTAATCACTTTAGCAATTCATTTTAGACATAGATGCACCTTCACAATAACAGCTATCTTACTTTAATATGACTCGTGGCTTCCCTTGAACTTAGGTCTTTTGACTTGAAAATACTTCATGTCTTCCCCCAAAAACGGAATTTATTAAAAAGTGTGCCGATTCAGTTCATTTCCCTCATTTCAAGAGTTAGAAAACCTACAGTTACTAGAATGCACTGCTCTGCAACAGCTCAAAAAACACTCCTGCTGGTGGGTGACATAATGTAAGCTTGTCCGTTTTGACACAGGAAACAATATGGCAGCTGGCTGTTAGCAAACGATCTCAAATAACAGTTAGAGGTTAAGCTAAAATATGTTTCTGGGAATATTTGAGATGAGATATACGTAACACAGTGGCAGAATCTTGGTTTATATTTGATCAGTACTGCTAAATTTTACAGTTTATTGCAGTTTGGTCCGAGATTGAGATTTGCTCCTGTGGTGGGCATACGAAAATATGGAAGTACAATCTGTAGTTTGTGCAAGAGCGCTTAAGCCAGCAAAAATCTGCCGGTGGATGACGGATTTGAGCCGAGAGATGAGCAGGGAGATCTGGGTGCTGGTAATATGAAAGGAAGTTTATAATAGTTAAGTTACTACACATATTGCCGGTTTTCAACCAGCTTTATGTCATAAAAAAGTAATAAAACAAAACATAATTCATATACGAAATGAAAGTGCAATGTCAGCACTGTTTTTTACGATTGCGTTCAGTCGTACATGTTTTAACAAACATTCTTTTAACAAATAAAAGGAATAAATTCATGGAGTCTGCCATGTTGTTTCTACAGTAGCCTAGAACTAATTAAATTAAACACTGGGTCTAAATTGGACTATTTAATTGGACATTTTATCTGCAATATCCTCTCACCTTGGTTCCCTTTGGGCCCTGTGAAGCCAGGATCCCCACTTAATCCTGGTTTGTCAGGGGTCCCACTTGGTCCTACAGGGCCACGGAATCCAGGCGGTCCAGGTCGACCATGGTCACCTGAGCATTAAAAAAAACTGGATTGTTTCAAGTTTTAAAATGGTCATACCCGTATAAAGAAACACTCCATGTGTTTCTGTGCATCATTGGTTCTTTTACTAAGAGCTCAGCAGGTTTCTGAGATGACTGGTGCCCTGTTAATGCAAAAGAGTAGTTTCTAACCTTTGGGTCCCTGGAAACCTTTCAAACCGACTGTGCCAGGAAAACCTGGCTGGTTGTTGGGGTCACCGTCCTCTCCCCTCTGTCCTTTAGGTCCCGGCTCTCCAGCTGGTCCAGTGACATCCAGACCTGATAAAAAAATGAACAGGAAACATGTCTCATTCCTGAGGTCTTTACATAACAGAGAAACTAACGCATGGTTTCTATTCACTAACATAGGATGTAGTGAAGAACTCAGAAATATACCATGAGTGACTTAAGTCCTACAAGTATTTGTCTATAACACAATTCATGTCTTAATAACCAACAATCAAAGTTGAAAAAAAAAACAGATTTAGATATTATTTCTCAAAGTTCCCCTTCACTAAAAATGTCTTTTCCTTCTTGTTTCTATGGTTGAATGTTTGAGCTTCCCTGTGCAGAGTTTGATGCTAGAATGCATCTGCTAAAGAGGAACGTTTCTACATGCTTTCAGGGGTGGGGTTACAAGCATGATTTGTGACATCACAAATCGTTTGGAAGCCATTAAGTTTATGAACCTAAAAAGACCTAAAAGATCTCATTAGTCACAGGAAACACTGATTGAGAGAATAAATTTTTAGGACCTTTAAGCTGCATGAACATAACATCTGAGTCTTAACTTGTAACATTGCTGGTATTTTCTAGTCATTACATGTGTACAGAAAGATTGTTTTTATGAATCTGGTTGAATACCTGGTGTTCCCGTGTTGCCCTTTTGTCCTTTCAGTCCATGTAATCCATAAAGACCTTTCAAGCCGGGGAAACCTGCACACATTTTGCATAGATCAGATGGAGGATCATGGTGGAAACAAGTATGACATTTAAAGAGAAAAGAAAGAGAGTACACTGTTCTGATTATTTACCTTTGTTTCCAGGGAAGCCAGGAATACCTGGATGTCCGTCTTTTCCAGGAAATCCAGGAAAGCCTTTTTGACCTTGGGTACCGGGAGTCCCCTTCTGCCCATCAGGGCCTGTGGGGGGAAAAAGTGTTGCTCACAAGATGTAATTCTGCTGCAATATACGGTATGAATTTTAAAATAACACAACATACTTTAATAAAGAAGTCAACAGGAGTCTTTTACCTGTGAATCCTGATATTCCTGGATCACCTGACTCTCCCTTTCTCCCTTCGATCCCATCAAAACCAGGTGTACCCCTTTCTCCTGTTGGGCCAACGAATCCTTTCAGGCCTGTAAAGGAAGTAGATATTAAACATCTCATGTCAGCCAAGATCGAGCCCCTGATTGTTAAGCGATCAACAGACAAGTAGAAATAAAGCTGATTGATCAACGGTTTGTACCTGGTTCTCCTGGTAAACCTTCCTCTCCTCTCAATCCGGTGGCTCCTGGAAGGTCTATGCGTTGGCCTCCCTCACCTGAAATCAAAATTCACTATCACCTAAAATATTTTCACTAACTCACTTTATAATTTGTATCTACTGTAGATCTCTATCTGTCTGGAGTTGAAAATTGAGGATGTACCTTTGGCGCCCTTCCTTCCTTTGTCTCCTGATGCACCATAGGCACCAGGACTGCCTTTAATTCCCTGAAAAGTGACAAATGAGATGTATTGAAACTGATTTGTAGCTACAAAACAACTAACATTACACATACAATGGCTTAGTGATATTAAAAAAACACATTACAACAAGGATCAACTGATTAAATCATAAAAAGTCATAAAATCATAGAATTGTAAAACCATAAATCACAAAATCCACTGAATGGATACGTTTTAAGCTTTCTTTTATAAATATTTAGCAATCCAGCTTCCCTGATATATAGGTAGCATGTTCCATAGCTTTGGGGCGTAATTGACAAAGGCCGCTTCCCCGCTTTTCTTAAACCAGCAGCAGATGATCATAGTGCTCTTGCAGGCAAATCGTTAACAAGAGAGTTAGCAATGTAGCTTGGTCCCAGCCCATGTAGGGCTTTGTATACAAGGAGGAGGAGCTTAAAATCAATTCTATATGTAACAGGAAGTCAGTGCAGAACTGAACTACATATGTAACATTGATGGAGTGGCTCTATGATTTATAATAATTAGCTTAGTATGGCTCTGCTCACCCTGTTGCCTGACATTCCCTCAAAACCAGCAATTCCTCGATTTCCTGTAAGGCCTGGCATTCCTTTTATTCCCTGAAGCCCCTCTGCACCAGGATCTCCATGGACACCTTTCACAGGGCTGGGGTCTCCAGGAAGACCATGTCTTCCCTCCAAGCCCGGCACACCAGGCATACCCTTATTACCTGTGGAACAGAGCGGGATGTGGGAATGTGAGGAAGTGAGGTATAAGAGGAGGTGAGAAAGAAAGAGTGACTGATGTCAGATTATAGCTGCACACCTCTTGGTCCGGTGAAACCTTGATTTCCATAATTCCCATAGTCTCCCTTGGCTCCCTTCATGTCAATAATCATGTGGCGGGGTATGTAAGGCTTCTCCCCAGGTGGTCCTCTCAAACCACGATCACCTGGCAGACAGAGATGGTAGGTTAAAGAATTTATGTGGTGGTTAAAACATAACACAATACCACTGGGATCCCAAACATTTTTTAGAACAGAGCAGTCTCACCTTTCTCTCCGTTTCGACCAGTCACTCCTTTTGGGCCAGCTTGGCCTGGCAGTCCAGGTTCTCCACCAAACCCGCTGAAGCCCTTTGCACCTTGATTACCCCTGTTCCCCTCAAAACCTGACATGCCTGGAGACCCTTTGTATCCTGGGAAAGAGGGGGGGACATCAGATGTCACCAATAAAACAAACTTATCTGACTAAAACTGCTTGAATTGTGGATACATTACATAGTTTTGATATTATTTGATGTTTAAGTTCATTTATTAAAATTATCTAAGTAAATATCCGAGGAACAGACCCTTCATTCCTCCAAGTCCTGGACGTCCATCTACACCTGGCTGTCCTGGTTCACCTGATGGGCCGTAATCTCCAGTGGGACCATCACTACCGTACAGTCCTGGGACACCTTTTAATCCTATTGGACCTGGAGGACCTGGGTCTCCTTCAACTCCCCTCTCCCCAGTTAAACCTGGTGAGCAGGATGGTAGAAGGAACAGGGACTTCACACATGAACAAAAACATTCATGAGCAAGAGTGTATCAATGTGTTTGTTTGTCTAACCTGGCTGTCCAATACCACCACGAGGCCCAGGTGGTCCTGCTTGCCCAGGATCACCAGGGAAGCCGTACTTGCCCGCTGGCCCAGGCCGTCCTTCCTCTCCTCGCAGGCCAAGAGGGCCACTCTCACCCTTGAAGCCGATCATACCAGGCATGCCCGGCATCCCTGGAAGAATGGAAGAATGAGAATATTAGATAATAGCTTAGTATTTTAAGCATTGCCACAAATGATTAAAGTACAGCCAACAGGGCAAAGAAAGACTATGGGACAGGTAGGTTAAATAATATTGTAAATTCATGTCACAGTGAGTATATGGCTAACCTGGATAGCCTTGATCGCCTGGATCTCCAGTCTGGCCTTTATTCCCTTGAAGCCCAGGCAGCCCTATGTCACCAGGGGGTCCAGGCGATGCTCCCAAGATCTCTCCATGAAAACCTTTCTGACCTTGCGGCCCATGCCGGCCAGGCACACCAGGCACACCAGGGCCTCCTACTGAACCTTTAGCGCCAGGAAATCCCAAGTCTCCACGGGGGCCGGCAAAACCTGTGTTGGAGGAACCATAAATGTTAATAACGGACTAGAATCACTGCCTCCTGGTTGTATGCTTCCGCGAACCAGTCAGGTTGCAGTTTACATCCGCATCTGTCCAGACTCATATGTAGCCACGACAGTTGACAATGCTTCAATTACGGATGTTGCATATTCTGAAACACGGATGCTTCACACACATCTTCAACCTGGCAGCACAGAGGATCTATAGAGTGCTACAGGGATGACGTTTTTCGTAGGCTGGCACAGAAGTCAGCATCACCATGGTTCCCTCGTCAAAAGGCCAGTGGATTATTGCAGAAAATAAGCTCTGTGGCAAATAAAAGTTTATGATATTCACATGTTTTGTTCAGCAAGATAATCTGCACAAATGAACACCACTTTTATGACTTTATGCCTAAATGCAATCGGCAGAGGTAAAAGGCTAACGCTGGGCTAGAAACAAGCTACACCACAGTCACATGATTCAACACTGACCCCATGTTTGGCAACGTTAAGTGTTAAGTGTTTGGCGTGATGACGTTTTGTCATCTCATTAGGCACTTCTTAGCATCCGCCTTTTTAAAGACACATAAAGGCTTCAAAATTCATGAGTGGGGTATTTACTGACATATTTTATGCTGTAGAACAAAAAGTGACAGTATCTTAAGCTGGTGTTAACCACAGACCTTATTTCAGGCCTCGCTTTTCTTTGTAGTAATCTTATTTTGTATTCTATATTGCCTGTCTTGACCAGGACAGTCTTGAAAAGAGATATTTAATCTCAAAAGTTTTTTTCTGGTTAAATAAAGGTTAAATAAAATAATAAATAAATAAAACAAAAACTCTTTCCCGGATTTTAGGATTCATTCCTGGAGCACAGTTTCAAGAGGGACACTCAAAATTAGTGTCACCATTTCAGACCAAATGTCTCCCCCTCTGTTCCTGGGTTACGACACTGACAAATTTTGCGGAACATTATGATGTCACAGTGAAGCTGACCTATGACCTTTTGGATAAAAAAATGTTTACTCTTTTGGTTATTTGTGTGAAGTTTTGTCATAACTAGCAGATAAATTCTGGAGTTACGGCCAAAAACATGTTTTGTAGGGTCACAGTGATCTTGACATTTGAATTTTGATCATCAAATTCTAGTTAGTTCGTTGTTGAGTCCAAGTGAACATTTGTGCCAAATTTGAAGCAATTCCCTCAAGGCCTTTTTGAGATATCGCGTTCATGAGAATGGGACGGACGGACAACCTAAAAACATATTGCTCCCTGCCATCACTGTCACCGGCATGGAGGCATAAAAAGATCAGATGTGATCAACCCTATCCAACTACTGCCCAATAAGTCCTCTCACTCTTTACCTGGTGGTCCAGGACGACCGCCTATCCCCTGATCTCCTGTTTCTCCTTTCTCTCCGACTGCTCCATATGGACCCTGTGGTCCCTTTAAGCCCACAGGACCTGTTGGTTAAAGAATATAAACAAGGCATCAAACAGGATTCAAAGCAGGCTCCCTGCGGGCAACATTCAGCACTAGTTTGTTGTTGGGTTACCTGGGACACCTGGCAATCCAGGGGGTCCTGGAGATCCAGGCAGCCCAGGAGGTCCTGGTACAGCATCACAAGGACCTGAGAGGAAATAAACAGTCTTTAGGGCAACATCATGGTTGTGTGTAAACGTTTAAACTGTTTAGGGGGAAATGACTATTTGGATGCAAGTGATTTTTATCTCTTGCCCAGCGTGGATTGATTTTGACAACATGACATCATCATTACACTAGTTGGTATCTCCGTACCCAAAATTTCAAATGGCAAACCAATTAAAAACCGTCATGCACACAAGTCAAATAATCCAGAGGCAAAAGCAAAACAGAGTTTTTACAGAGGGAGCAATAAGGTCAAAACGTTGCTATACCAGCTACCTGTTACATCCACCTGTCCTCCACCTCCTGTCGGACTACAGCCGCCTTTCAGTTGCAAATGAGAGAGAAGGAAAGAGAGAGAGGCATTCGGAACAAGAGTTATTCAAAAGCACAAGCATTATCTCAAACAAGCCTTGCTGCAGCTGGTTTGAGGGATGCAGTCCCCGCATCAAGGTCACAACAAGAGGCAAAGAAAGAAAAGTAAATAAAATGGCAAAAATATACTTATCATGCGTCCTCCTTCCTTTTTGTTTTTAATCACAAGCCATTAATGTTCATTCCAGTTTCACTGCTTTTGCATTTTAAGACAGGCGAGGTAAAATGAAATACTTAGTATAGAGAGAGATTGTCACATCTCTGTAAAGTTAAAAGCACTGAAAAAGAATTATGCAACATCATACTGAGTCAGCCGCCTCTCACCTGGGCTGCCAGGTGTTCCTGGAACTCCATCATAGCCCGCGTGGCCGTCGTCACCAGGTAAACCACGCTGGCCCTTGACGCCCCCAAGGACTTCACCATCAATTCCACGTAGCCCGGGTTCACCGGGACGACCACGCTGACCTGGGTAACCTTTGTCTCCGGGTTCTCCTCTGGGACCTTCTCCCTGTTTACATCAACCAGTACAGTCATTATACTGATGGACACATTTTGTCACGAGAGGAAATGAAAAGGAAAAATCACTTTAGATGAAACCCTAAGTCAGAAGAGTGTTTACAATATGACACTTATGTGGCAGACTTACTGGAAGACCTCGGCTCCCAGGGAGACCGGGCAAACCATTTAGTCCAGGAGCACCTGGCGCACCTGACCCACCATCTCGTCCGTGATCACCTTGGTCTCCAGGATATCCTGCAGTGATCATGCACACAAGCAGAGGGGTCATTGTCTGTTTTCTGTAACTCTGAGGCGTCATTACAGAAACATCCTATCTCTAAAATCTAGGCTGCCCCTTAAAAGTCAGAGAGATTTGAATCATCAGTCTTGAACCCCTCAGTCGACTGAGATGGCTTCAAAATGAGCAGCTGTCTTTTTTTGTTTGCTAGTCAGTGTGCTGTGCAGCATAACACATAATGAGGTCCCTGTTGCTGATCTGAATGAGATGAAGTAATAGGCACACCGCACCTTTCTGTGAGGCCGCTCTCGCTGCCCCTTTACGACCTTTTGGGCCCGGCGCACCGCTGATGCCAGGAGGTCCCTGTGAGACGATACAGAAAAGTATGAGAAAACAGAGAAGAGGTAAAAAAATACACTTGCCAACCCGCCCTGACAATTCTCCTGTATTTCTATTGATTTTCACACCTTTTTTCCTTTTCGTCAACCTGTCTCTGGCACCGCACAGACTGTATAACTCGAGCCCTACAACTCTAAAGTCTACTGTTTCAACCTGGAGAATAATACAGCTACACCAAATGTCATTCTGGCAAGCATGTGACGCAGAGGAGAGCAGTTTGCACTTCGTCCTCCACAAAGACAGAGAGACAAACGAAAAATATTAAGAGAAAGAAAAGCAAATTTCCGATGTCTTGGAAAGAATTTCTGTTTCTCATGTGAGGTTTTTAAGGAAAGGGGCATTTTGTAAAGCTGATTTTTCCGTCAAGCACAGGGGTCAAACAGTGCGATGAAATGAACCAATGACAACTGATGAATATCAGTTTATCCCAGAGAGTCACACAAGTTCATGCCAGAGGGGCAAATTATTCTGGATTCTTTCCTGAGAATTAAAAGTACAATTTAAAGTATTTAAAATAAAAATGCTGTGCAGTGTACTTATTATTTTGTTATTTTCACGCATGCAGAAACAAAGCCTCCGACACGCCCACCCCCCACCCATCTTTGGTGTCAAAATCCTCCCTGTTGGCAAGTATGGATTACAATGAACAAAGGAATGAATGAAGATGACTCGGTTATTCTTACAGGGAATCCGTCGACTCCACGGGGACCTGTGTCTCCTTCATCACCCTCCTGACCAAACTCACCGGTCATCCCAGCATCACCTTGCTCACCGGCAGGGCCAGGTAGCCCCGGTAAAGAGTGCACGATGGTGCATTCACACAGTCCATGGTCACCTAAACACAGCATAGTACCCACAGGTCAGCAACACAGTATGAGTTTATTGGGAATTGAACTGTTTATTTTGTTAAAGGAAATTAAATGAAGGCGTAAGCACTTCAGAAACTTTTTTGTAACTTCCCGTGTTAACCAATAATCCATCTTTAGCATGAACAGTGTGACTACAGCACCTTTTATTCCTTTATAGCCTGCATTGCCAGGCCTTCCTCTCCCACCAGGTGCCCCTTTGAAGAACTCAGCCCCTGGAGACAAATGGAAATAAAGACATATAGAAACACAGTGAAGGCACTGACACAAGAAAACAAAGGAGGATCCTCAGTATGAAAGTTTGAACGCTCAGTCTCTCACTGACTGACTGACTTACATGTTCCTTTGGGTCCTGGAGGCCCCATAGACCCTGGGCGCCCGTTGGTGCCTGGGGGTCCTGCGATGTCAGCAGGGCGTCCTGGTTCGCCAGGCTGGCCCTTCTCTCCCGGCTCCCCCTTGAAACCAAATGGCCCGAAGAAATCCCACACTGACAGACACAAAACGACAACAAGAGAAAACTTGATTTAAGCTCTTGACTGCTCAGTTTATCGAACATATCTTGGACAGCGCCGTATAACAATTCATGAGAACACCTGTTGGCTATGATGTGACCATGGTATAATGGGTGTAGAAGCATGACGAAAGATTTTTACTTTGCACTAAACTCTTTACCCCATAACACTGAATATTTACTTGATATTATACTGTACATTATGTACTTAAGTTGATCATTTCTAGGGCTGCCCCCTAATAGTTGTTAAAATGTTAGTTGACCAGAAAGGTCATTGGCAAGATTTCATTAGTTGCTTAGTTGCAGAAAAAAAAACAAAAACAATTACAAATGTGAAACTCCATTAGGGGCTGCGCCTTGTCAAAATAAATCCAAACCTATATGACTGGACCATGTGGGAATTTAATTTGAAAGGTCAGACACAGGAAGTGTCTATGCTCAGCAGTCAGACAGAAGTCACGTTAATTTCCAGGGCTGGTACCTGCAGTTACTCCACAGGCTAGTTAATAACATGTCGGGCAGGAAATCCAAAGTGTGGGATCATTTTGAGAAGGTGAAGGACGAACCCAAGGTGATATGTAAACTCATCTTCATTGGTTGACTACAAACATGACGTATCATCTGAAACATGGAAGTAGCTACATGCCCATTAGCGCACAGCGTCATTAACAGGCGGCTCGCTCAGTGTGTGATGTGCACTTGTAGATAAAATATAAGCCTATATTAATGAAGGTTCATTAGTACGGTTTTGTATTTCTCTGTAATGTAGCACAGTGTTAACAATGTTACCGATACTATTCTTTCTCACACCTTCAACTCAAACCATTGTGTTGCCACGCCCAAAATATATCATTTAATAATTAAATTAATATGGTAAACATACAGGCGACTAGTCGACTAATGGCCCTAAATGATGACCATTGGTTGACTAGGAAAATTCTCAGTCGGAGGCAGCCCTAATAACTTTATTATGTCTCTTCTGTTGCATGTCTGTCCGTCCTGTAAGAGGGATTCCTCAGCTGTTCTTCTTCTTTAGTTTCATATTTGAGAGAGACAAGACTCTGAAAATCTAGACTGTGTAATTCCATGACTTTTCTTTGTGAACGCTGCACTTGTATGCTGTATGTGGATGAGTGTCTTAACAAAGCTTCAGTTTACAGACCTTGTTGCTGTGTGTCATAGGCGGGTTGTCCTGGGGGTCCTTGGAAGCCTTGGTCTCCAACCGGGCCCCTCTCTCCCTGTGGACCCTGCTCACCAGGAGGACCGGGAGGACCACCTTAGCAGAGCCAAAGCATCATTAAAAGAGACAATGATTAGCATCTTATGCTCATTACTCCGATGACTCCTTTAATCCATTCTTATGCAGCTCTGCCATAGACTGTATATGGAGGCTTATAAATCTGCTGTAATAATAATACTGATCGTTGCATTAGTTTAATACTTCTGGATTACAAACTCTTTTCTTCTTCTTTCGTTCCCACATATATCACTAGTGTCTGAAAATAAATGTGACAGTAAATGACTCCTACATGTAAACTAAACCTTTATCTTGACCTCCTGACCTTTTACTCTGACTGTGCAGTCTGTTAAAGTTCAGTAATGCCACTGATTTCCTCACAGAGTTTCACTTCATGTGAGCAAAAATTACACAATTGCATGCCGTCAGCCCATAGGTTTCATCTTCAAACTCTCTCATCTCTTTGACTGTTTCTTGGGTACTGATCACCTTACCTGACCAAGGCAATGAGGGTCCTGATGAAATCAGTTCTCCCGCTTCACCTCTGACCCCCTGAAACACAAACCTTGTGTCAGTCTTTCAGTACTCAGTGGCTGCAGTTTCACTTGTCATTACAGTAAATGAGATCACACGCTGTTTGTGTACATGTGGGTTGACAATGACTGTGACACTATTCTGAGCCTGTCTTATCTCTTATTCTCCTTTTAATTTCTGGTGTGGTTCCCTTCACTCGGTGATCTCTTACAGCGCCTTGTGGCTGGAATAACACTCACAAGGGTTAAATGAGATTTTTAAAATCAATCAAATGTTGTTGTGTGTGTGTTGAACAGTCCATCAGGTTTTGTACCAGTGTCTGGGTGCAAACACATATAATCAGTCTCTACATCGGATCTCCTGAAGTATTGGCTGTTGCCCCATACCCCTTCCCACCAACGTAGAACAAGTTCTGTTTCATTTCCTGCACCTAATTTTAAACATTTTGACCATTTCTACCAAACGTTATTTGGTTCAGAACCCAAAAGTCTTGAACACCTTTGCATGTCTTCTTTTATACATTCCATTTTAACTTTTAAAGACACCGAGACAATTTTACACGCCTTCATCTCTTCACTGCAATAGCCTCTTTTCTTGCCTGAATCAAAAATCTACCAATCGACTCCAGACTGTTCAGAATTCAGCTGCCAGGAGATGTGATGACATCACTCCAGTTTCAGCCTCTTTACACTGGCTCCCAGTATGTTTCAGAATAGATTTTAAGATTTTACTGATTAGGCTCTTCATGGTCTATCTCACAGCTACATCTCCGACCTCTTAGTGCTGTACACGCCAGGACGTACTTTGAGGTCCTTGGGCAGCAGAGGTCTTTTGTCTGTTCCAGAGGCCCGACTGGAAACTACAGGGGACAGAGCGTTTGCTTTTAGGGCCCCGAGACTCTGGAACAGTCCGCCAGAGGAAATCAGGTCGGCTGAGTCAGTGATGTCCCTTCTTAAAACATACTTTTAATGGAGAGCCTTTCCTGATTTTACCTGAGTTTTAAGTTCATTCAGACTGTCTTTTATTTCCTCAGTTCTTCTTTTAAAAGTTGTTGTTTTCATGTCTTGTTTGTTTTAATTACTGACATGTAAAGCACTTTGTAACTGTTACGTTCAAGGTTCAAAGAATCCAAAATGGAAACAGATTAAAGACATAGCTAATTTGCTACCAGAGGCTTATTATCAGTGCATTCTCACCTTAGGACCATCTCTGCCTTTTGGTCCTGGGTTGCCGAAATCACCCTGAAAGAGTCGTCATTGACAAGTTAAAAAATTTAATTCAATTTGCTTATACAATAATGATGCAATGTCTCTCATTTCCCACACAAACATACCCTCGGTCCAGGACGTCCATCTGCACCAGGTTCACCCTGTAACAGCACAAACAGCACATGACATGAACTTCACACACAGACAGAGGTCAGTCTCTGGCTGAAATGTGTAGGAGAGTTTCTGCGCTCACCCGGTTTCCAGGGAATCCAATCACACCTGTTTCTCCTTTGCTACCCTCAAAAAAACCCTAAGAAAAGGTGATGGGAGGAGTTGACATGCTGAGGTGCTGATGTTAATATGTGTCTGTGTATGTGTACATAACATGTGTATGATCGTTCATACCGGATCTCCCATTTCTCCTTTCAGACCTTTCTCTCCACGAGGTCCCTAAAATAATGACAGAGGAAGATCTTATCGTATCTTATCCTATTGTATTTCATATTTTAGAACCATCTATACACATTACAGCAGGCCAATGAATGAATATGAACGTATACAGACTGTGGGTCCGTAGGGGGGCAGAATCTGCTGATGAGTAGAGTTTCCTGGTGGCCCTTGCGGTCCGATGTCCCCCTGTGGTGAAAGTAGGAAGTGCAACAAACGTCAGCTAGCTCGGAGAGACGCATGCCATCATCCAGTGTGCAGATTCTTTAGTTAAGTAAAACTACTGTAGTTTTTAGAGCTCAAACTAAAGTGGACGAGGGGATTTTTGTCCAAAATCAATTCAGGATTTTACATGCAGAAACAGCAAGCAAATTTGTTGTCATGGCATTTGTTTTACAGCAATGCAGTTAGACTTAATTAACAGATATTAGCAATGCATTTGACAAACGTGGCACTCACTTGGTCTCCTTTGTGTCCCTTAAGCACCTTGGTCATTGTGCCCTGCACAGAAAAACAAATACTTAAAGCTGCAATCATAGATTCCTACTTTCATATTGTATTCACACAGTCACACACCAAATTTCTATAATATTACATTAAATATATATTAGTGTGGCCTTACCTTTGGTCCACGGGGACCTGGAGGCCCTGGGGGACCCTAGAGGGAGACACAAACAGGATAAGCCCTTTGCATCATAAAAGTTGAAGCTTCTCAAACTAAAATTAAAATTGCACACACACAGACACCCTTACCTTCGGTCCTGGGATGCCTCTGTTACCCTGCCATCCTGGAGTTCCTAGAGGCCCCTGACAAAAAACAAGTAAGAGATGATAGATGAGGAAGAAATTTTGATACTGACAATATGTAACCACCATTATCTGATCATGTCTTTATGTTCAGCACAATTAATGTGTCTTACAATTATTCCGTTGACCCCTGGCGTGCCTGGATCTCCCTGTAGAGAGACGGTCAGAAATCCATGAGCTCTATAACACTTTGTCACAGCAATATCAAGTCGTTAAAGCAGTTTTATGAAGCCAGGTGTGGTGTAAACTCCTCCTCCTCACCCTGAAGCGCTGCATGTACACGATGACGTCCAGAGGGTCTCCCTTCTGTCCCTTCCAGCCTGCTTGTCCCTGAGGAATGAAAACAAAAAGACAGTCACCAGCAGGAAATCGAACTCTTCGCCAGATCATTATCCAGGCAGATTTGGAGTTGCACTTACAGGAAAACCTGGCGCACCGTTTGCACCGGCTTGCCCTGGTAACCCTGATTCTCCCTGTGTCCCGTTGCAGCCGTCAGCACCTGGCTTCCCCCTGGGCCCAGCCTGTCCTGGGTGGCCCTGCAGAGCGAATGTCAATTCACAACAGATCAGTCAGAACACATCACAGGCAGAATCAGTACAGGTCCTTTGTGCTGAAAAGTGGTTTGGACGTTAGGGCTCAGATGAAAAAAGACTTTAGGGCAATGTAATGAGGGACTGGTATGAAAAAAAAAAGTTGGAGAAAAAAAATGCTACTACCAAGGGTGTAGGTTTTGGGTGGGACACCAGTGAAACATAGTTGGGGGTCCTCCCCGGGAAATTTTGAGAGTAATTTCCTGCATCCTGTTTAATTCTCCTGCACCAATTAATGGTGAAAATGTCTTTATTTATATAAAAAAAACAACAACACAAAATTCAGGCACCTAGTCACAATTCAAAATATAAAAATGAAAAAATGAAACTAAAAGAAAAAAAACTGATTATGAGCCATGAAAAATAGTTTCATATGTTGAATATGAAATGGAATCAAAGATATTTCTCTATGACACCAAAATTCCGATAACATACTTTAAAATTTATAAGATGTATCACACACCTATTCACATGTTTCTCATTTAAAAAAAAGAAAGAAAGAAAGAAATGTCATTGCTATATGAGCTTAATAATGAGATTCATGAGATACATGAAATGATATGATGACAATAAAAAGTATTAAAAAAGAAATATAGCGATTGGTCAGCAGGGGGCGCTTCTGGTTATTAAATTATGTGTTAAGGTACAAAACTAGTTGATTCTGTAAGCGGTACTTATTATTATTACTTTGTTTTATCTTTAACTATTTACCTATTCTTCTTTTTCCAATTTATTTCAACTATTTCCTTCTTACCAAATACTATTTTATTATTTTATTTTTTTTTACCAATAAGTTTCTCATGGGTTGAAATATGTTTATTTATCATACCACAAGGACTGTTTTAAAGGCACAGTTATATGACAAATGTTTAATCTGTATTTTAATATTTTGTCACTTTAAATTCAAAGAAAATGAAAAAAAAAAACAAAAAACAGGACACTTTGTAACTACGATATGATGAAAGAATTGTGCTCCAATTTTTGTTCTAAATAAAAATTCAAATAAAAAATTCTGTGCTGCTTTCAAATATTTATTCTCCTGTAGATCAACTTTCCTCATTGAAGGTGATCTACTCTATGATTTACTCTTTAATTCCCTCCTTTTGTTTCAGGAAGTAACCTCTTTAAATGTGCATGTGGCAACTTCACATCAACATTAATTTAATTTAATCATTTTAAAAACCTCTTCATGTGTTGCCATATTCACAGAGAAAAAATGGAAATTCTCTAAAGAAAAAACTGTGTCAGTTTGATAAAGTTACTGATCGGCACATGCACATTTTTGGGTTGTTTTAGAATCAGTAGGGTAAAGGGGATTTTTTTTTTTTAACCTTAAGTTACTTTAGTTGGACAATGTGCATTTGTTTCTTCTATTTTTACACTACAGCAAATGTTTTCTAAATGTGCAAATAAACCTTTCTCAAAGTGCTCTAATTGTTAGTCCACATTTCTTTGTGCACCTATGAGTTCTGGATTACAATATGTCAACAGTTTAATGTTATTTTTAAGCGCCAGCTACATCTCGGTGCAAGGACTAGACTTGTTGGGACTAAATGACGAGTCACCTGCTGGTTTTCACAACAGACACCTTTTGCACATTCTGCTGCACTGTGCAGCACAGTGCACATTCTGCTGCACTGTGCTCAGAAATGTATTATAGTCGCGTGGATCACTGATGAAGCTCCCACTCCTACTCAGTGGCTGCACGATCTGACAAGTATCATTCCATGCGAGGCTTTCTCTACAGCCTTAATGGATAAACCCTTTTTGTTCTACCGGGCCTGGGACCCATTTCTTAATTATCAGGTCTCGTAGGATGAAATCAGGGCTGATAGAACTGGCCTGGAAAAGGATGTGGAGCCATAGCTTGTCATGACATCGAAATGCAATGTGGGACAGGCTGTCTTCCATGGATTTTCTCGACTCCCTGAATTTAATTAATTCATATTTTTTTATTATTATTATTTAGGATTTTTTTGTCTTCTCTTGCCAGGTTTGGATGTCAGTAATTTGTATACTGTTAGCATTGCTGCTGTGTATGTGCTTTCTTTGTCTTCCCTGCTTCATTAAAAATATATCTGAAAAAAAAGACACCTATGATGATGAGCTTCTCTTGCTGGATAGATTTGATCGATTAATGCATACTTACATGTGCCCAATCCTCCTGGATTTACAAGACACCATTACAATGGTGTTGCAGTAACAATCAAAAGCACATGTTATTTAACTACTCAGTCCACAAACAGAATACCCTGCTCTTCTATCCCAGGCCTGACGAAGAAATTCAGCTATAGAAAAGGTTCCTTTTCTGGAACAAAACTCAAATTTTAATGATCATCCAGCCAAAAGAAATCAACATAAATGGAGGTCATTTTACTGAAAAGTACATCCTTGTGTCTTCATATAGTACAGGACAGTGAAACAAGACGTGAACCTCATTTTCAGCTTCACCTAAATTATACAACAAACAAATTCAGTCCTTCTCTGGGGTGGCGTTAAACCTTCCAGTCTCTAAGGGTAATGGTAACGTTCCTGAGCGCAGCTGTGCACACAGGGATCTTTGTCTTTTGTTTAGCTTATACTTCTTCTATACTTCTTTATGAGACAATAAGTTCATAGTTTTGGTTCATACGATATGTCAACAGTCCATTTATCTCTAAACATGCGAAACAGTTAACTCCTAATCTCCTGAATATCACATAGTAACCCATTCTAAAGAATATAAATGACAAGTTGTTCAAATAAAATAATGATTTCAACTCTTAGACTTACAGGAATGCCATCGTTTCCAGAAAACCCAGGAACGCCAGTCATTCCCTGCAGAGCGACAAAATCACACATTAAACAAGATGACAAACATGAGAGAGTTGTGATGTTTAACACATAGATAAAAAAAAGAAAAGGATACTTTACCACATTTCCTTTGGGACCTATGAAACCACTGAGGCCACGGTCACCTTTCTGCCCCTTTGGTCCCTCGATGCCCATATCACCTGGCTTCCCTGGAGGCCCCTGGGGGCCCTGAGGCCCGAGAGGCCCAGGATGACCCTGAGGTTCGAAGAAAAAAAAAAAATAGTTGATCAACTTCAGGTCAAGGATGCAGAACACCAAATAAACTGTCAGCTGCTGCACATAGCTTTGAGTATGGTGCATAATTTACTACAATCAATTATTTATTATTGATTTCTAATTATCAGTAACATCATGAATGTTTGGAGTTTAACAAAAGCAAGGCTGACGTTAGTGATATATATATGGGGTGGCAATAAAAAAGTCCACTTACCTGTTAAAAAAAGAGAAGAGAAGATTGGAAAATAAGACAAGAGTTATCAGTGCAACCAAAGCATCACAACAATGCAACAAGAAATATGACAAACTTTATCTATTAAAGTTATTTTCCACATTTTTACCCTAATTCCAGTTCCTTAAGTGGCTGCTTGTATTCTCTGATTGCGTCACAAGAGGGAGACTAACACCACTTTTCTTCATGGTTTACTCTCTACACCCATCTAGTGGTCAAACTGTGTAATTACAAATATCCACTGTCAGACAGCTGATGGAAGCCCAAGAAGCAATGCAACTACATACGCACACATACAGACACCTTAAGAATAAATGTTAACGTCAGTGAACTCCTTTTAGTTCATCTTAGCTTTTTAGGGACACAAAGAGCAGACACAATGAGAAATATTGTTTTATAATCACCGTTTAAAACCTGCAAGCTGAAGTATCTTTTCCTTCTTTTTCTTACACACAACTGAAAGACCCACTAAGACCCCAAAACACACCCATGTTATTCCAAGAAATGCCACACAGAGCAGCGAGGAGATTGATTTAAGGTAGATAAAGCCAGACACTGCTGTCAAATATCTCTTTAATAAAAAAAAAACAAAACGAGACACTCACATTAGTCAAACAAGCTTTAAAGGCAAAGTAAAGGGCTGTCTGATTGCTGACTGTTTGAACCTGCAGACAGACGCCTAATCTGCGAGCTAAATATAACAACTTGATTATGATACACAGAGTGATGAAAGAGGGAAGACATGCAGGCAGATAGGAGGGAGGGAAAATGTGAGTCTGGCTGTGGCAGAACTATGTTTCTGTTCTCAGTCTTATAGTTAACTAATTTATCTCCTAATAAGTAGATAGATTTGAGATGTGTCTGCAGACTCGGCAGTAAAGTATGCGTCCTCTCTACCTTCTGCACCAGAATCGCTGCTGCATGTCAACGAGAAGAACAGCAGGATACAGACAAACGCTCCAGGAAAGCGTTAATGAATATTAAGGTGTTGTTCAGTGCAAGTGCAATGCATTGACTGTATGTTTCTGCAAACCATGAATATGTTACCTTTACATTTCATACATATCATTTCAACATTTCTAAAGTAAGGCAGTTCAGATTACACATACAGTATATGATCTGATTTTTTTCATCAGGAGCAGGAGATGGTGGACGGTGTGACACCTAGGGGAGAAAGCTGCAGACAACTGTTTTAGACTGACAAAAACAGGTATTTTTAACAACACATAGGGACATTTCCAGCTGTGCTTGCTGCGACAAAACTGGGTATTTTTTCACAAGACGTCGGGACATTTCCAGCTGTGTTTGTGGCATCAAAACTCTGTATTTCTAATGAAAATTTGGGCCATTTCCAGCCGTGTTTGCTGCAACAAAACTGGCTATTTTTTAATGAGGGATCAGAACATTTCTAGCCATGTTTGTTGCAACAAAACCAGGTATTTTTTGACGAGACGTCAGGCCATTTCCAGCCGTGTTTGTGGCATTAAAACCCTGTATTTTTAATGACATTTCAGGACATTTCCAGCTGCGTTTGCTGCAACAAAAACGGCTATTTTCTGATGAGACATTGGAACATTTCAATCCATGTCTGTTACAACAAAACCTGGTATTTTTTAACAAGACGTCGGGACATTTCCAGCCGTGTTTGTGGCATTAAAACCCTGTATTTTTTAATGACATTTTGGGACATTTCCAGCTGTGTTTGCTAAGAAAAACCTGCTATTTTTGAATGAGACATCAGGACATTTCTAGCCATGTTTGTTGCAACAAAACTGGATATTTTTAATTTTTCCAGGCACGTTTGTGGCATTAGAAATCGGGCATTTTTTATCATTACGTCGGGACATTTCCAGTGGTGTTTGTGCTGACCAAGCTGGGTATTTTGAAGCCAAAACATGACCTTTCCTAATCATTACAAAGTGTATTTTTGTGCTTAAACCTAACCACACCTTACCCACAGTGTTGTCACAACATAAAATTGAAAATTGAAAGTCTCAACATATCCACTATATACTAAATGTACAAATGTAACATATCCATGGTTTGCAGAGACGTACAATGCCAGCATTTACTCTGGTGACTGGGTTAGATGGGGCGTGTGATGTGGTGTGTGTGAGGGTGAGTCATTTCAGCTGAAAGATCAGGTTGTACAGGTGCCTCAAATACAGTTATATCTCAGTGTTGAGTGTGTCATTTACATCCCTGAGAGGGACTGAACACGGCCACGGGAGAGGCTCAACAGTGGCAGAAAGTAAACGAGGGTTGGTGGGATGGAAAGAGAATAATAAGAAAGCAGTGCTTTTACAAGGGTTGAGGGCGAAGATACCATGGGAATTGGGCATGTTTGCATGGTCTGGGAGTTCAGGGGGTCAATGAGTGATGACCTCTGAGGTTTGGGGGCCTGACAGTGTTCCTGTGAGAACCAACAAACACAGTGATGCTGTTTGTCCCCGGACAGAAACACTCCGGGCCTTGTTATATGAAGCCAGAGCCAAGGGTCTCAGAGGAATCAATAAAACTGCAGGGAGCCTAAACAATGTCAGACAACCATTCAAACAAGCTCACAGATGAAATCAGATGCAGATAGTGAGAGATAAAGCCTCAGTTGAACTTGGGGCTAGATGTGTGTGTGCGCTCGTAGCTGCAGCCTGTGTGTGTGTGGTAGTCAGAGCTTTGTCTATGGGGGGCTTATTGAAACAGGAGGTGTGTGTTTTGTCTTCGGTCTCAACTGTGCAGCTGCTGCCTATAGAGCAGAAACAGACAGACAACAGTAATGTCAAAACAACTCAAACTCTGCACAGGTAAACGGGCGGTGTTTCATGCAGATGCATCTACAGATGAAACCCGCAAGTGGACTGAACTGAGCAGTCAGTCATTGTGTGATAACATTGATATATCTTGCTCACTATGGCGATGATATCACCTGCTGACTATTCTGTGATATGCAAATAGTAATTTAGTTACTTCATATAGACAACTGAGACAAAGTAAGTATGTCATTTGCACCTTCTCGTCAAGATTATAGATAAAAATTTGGCAAGTTCAGATACAGAAATAAACTGCCACATGTTTCCTTTGCTATGAAACATCATACTCTCTATTGTTATGGTGGGCGAAAGAAAAAGACCCCAGGCACATGACATAACTACCAACACACACTTATAGCTGTAAATCATTGTCCTCATGAAAAGGAAATTAAACAAGCTGAGTGATTTTCTGAAGACAGATGGTTCTGTCACAGTCATAATTTTGCTATAATTCACACAGCAACAAGTAAAACACACAGTGACAGAGGGGAGGAGCTGTGTCGTAATTCAAAAGTGGCTTATTTCTGAAATAAACTGTGCATGTGTGTGTGGGCATGTACACAGTACAGTGTGTGCACAAGCATGTGGAGATCTTTGTCTAGGGGCACTTTCGTGGTACACTATGCGCACTGGTCTTTATCTTTCTGCATGGCTTAAACAGAGGGGTGATAAATACCAGTCTCCTTTCATAGCCGATAACGGGAAGATGTTTTTAAGTGCATACTTGTGTGTGTGTGTTCATGTGTCTGCACACCAACAGCTACAAATAGTGCTACTACTGTAGGCACTCAAAAATGTAGGTACAGCAGGAAACACTTTAGTTAGTCCTGAAAAAAAAGAGAAAATCACAGATACACCATCACAGGTACATAAAGGGTCCCAGATGTGTAACTTGGGCTCCCACATAAAGGTGCAAACTACTAGAAGGTCTTTATAGGTTTAGGTAAACAATTGCACTGATATGGCAACATGATATATCGCAACATATATCCTTGCGCACCACAACAACGACCTGGATTCAGCCCCTGATGGCAGGGCTTCACACTACACCCCATGAAATACAGTGTGTTATTTAGTGGGAAGCCAGTTAGGGCTGGGTATTGTTTAAAAACAAGACTGTTCCAGCTGGTGTATTATTTGCCATTACCCGCCTAGTCATTATATCCACATTACTGATGATCATTTATCAAAATCTTATTGTGTAAATATTTTGAGACGGCACGGATAGTCAACCCTGCAATATCATCACAAAACTGATGGAGAAATTTTATGATTTTTCTCCACATCACCCAATCCTACGGCAATCGCTACCCAATCATGTAGCAACAGACTTCACCACGCCACAGACTGATGGGCTGTAGCTGCTGCTGTAGAGGGCCAATCACAAACTGCATTAAATCGAGGAATGCATGCAGTGATTAGCTGCGAGAAAACCATACAGATACTCTTTTTTTTCTAGATCTGGGTACAAAAAGGATCAAATGCAGGTATCTTTTGACAGCAGATCCTTTGATACTACTTGGGCTATTTCAGATGATACCCTAAAGGTCTTGAGTACTGATACCCAGCCCTAGAAGCCAGTGAAGAATGACTGTATGTTCGTATCAACTGGTGACATGCTCCGTTTAGTCTGTGTCCAGGTCAAGCATGGGAGTCATCAGCAAGAAGGTCACTGCATTAGGCACACCGACGCAGTGGTTCTCAACCCTTTTTGTGTCAAGGAGCCCTTCACTGATACACATTAGGTCAGAGACGCCCATTTGAAAAGATTTTGCTTGTTGGATTAAGACCACAACTTTATAGCTGTCTATTACAGTTGAGGAAATAACAGTGGAGGAAGTGACACCTATGATTAGAATAGTCACCCTTATGACTTACTCACATTGGGCTCACTTCTATAGTGAATTAAATAGTGAAGATAAAATTGTCCCCTCCCTGGA